GGCTTATCTACTCGTGCAAGATGTGTCTTATTATTCTGTTTAAGCAGTTATACTTATTGAAGAAAACATTTGTGTACGTTTATAATATTAAGCTTACCAAGACTTCACGTAACAGTAATCCCTTACAACGTGACTTACAATGAGGATAACAGAATATGATTTAAGTATTATTGATTTATTTATACTTGTATATCAGTATACGATTTGATAGAAGACACAGCGTTAAAATGATGTCACTAATATTTGTGGAACATGTCTCGATAACATGTTTATATGTATATTTTTACTTTATTGAGATGTTGACATTAAATTATTGTATCTTGACGATTTATTTACGAATAAACCTATAAAATATTGAAATAGCCAAAAAACGTTGTAGGTAAGACTCATGGTCATAAAATATGTTGTTCAATACGCCTTTAAGGGCAATCAAACCCCCTTTCAAGAAAAATTCGTAATTGATATCCAAACAAACCTATTGGCTATTAAGGTACACATTTCTGAGTTTGAATATTTGATAAACGTTAAACCAAACTTAATTTAATCACTTGGTAAAATGTAATAGTATCATAATGGGCTTGAACTCACAATATTATAAAGTCAGTATCTGCTCGCTAACTTTATTTTAACCGCTTATTTTGTTCGTTGACCAATCTATTATGATTTCTATTATTGTACGTGTCCTACAATATATATTTTGTTTTCAGTTAATTTATTTGAATTAATAGTACATATATATTATATAGGTATAAGTTCAAATGACACATCGGAGCTCACTGTTACTCAATAGCAGTATAATATGATATAGTTCTTTCTTTCCGCACGATTTCCTTTACAACAGTATATATAGCTTATACGGTGCAGTCGATTGGTTATTAAGATGCACAGCGGCTATTTATCATTAGTTATTTTCAAATTTACCCATTATGGAAAAGTCATGTACCACCGTACCACCGAATACCAAGTGACACGAACACGTAATAATTGCAAAGATCGATAAATCTAACAAATTTTCGAAAATTCTTCAAACCGATGACAGCTATTTATTACTTATTACTTATTAGAGAGTAAACAAAAATAATAAACTAACTATACTTTTCATCTACCTATATCGGTTTAATTCGGGTTGGTGGACGGAGGATGAGTGGACAAAAGAATCCCTTAAGCCTCAAAAGTATATAATAATTCCGTTGATGTTTTAAGGTGGCTCGTTACGAGACGACCCTTTTGGCGGCACTTTATCCCCGACACGACCGGGAAACCAACATTTTCCGAGGGATCAATAACCCTCCTTCCCTCCCCCCGTGGGCTGGTCGACTGGCGTTCTCACTAGGTTAATGTTTATCCGATTACCCCGTCCGGGTCTCGTTGTTTCCCACCGGAATTCTGAGTGAATTATCTTCCGGGGTTTGTTTTGCGCGCCCTCATGGCGGCCACCGCCACCGGAATCCCGGGACTTTCCGTACATAAGACTCTATACGTAAGTCCTCCGATCCACTATCAACCCACCCGTGGCCAAATTGTATTGTCTCTCCCTCTATCCATCTATATATATATATATTGTCTGTTATTGTAATATATCTGACGCCCTATTCGATATCACCCTGATAAGGTCATCTGACCACCCAAGGACCCTCAGAAATTTATAAGTTTTATTATTCGTTGCAACAAAAGCGAACACTGGTAATTAATTATTATACTTGAGTTGAATAAAATATTTGTATGGTTAACTAGCCATACTTTAAACTGTTTCCCTTACAAAGAACAACATGGACTCGCGTGATCATAGACGTTTCCATGTAGCAATATTTGACAGAATTCTGGTGGACGGCGGTAGGAATGAAACGCATAGAGCCATAGACAAAGTAATGGTGATCAGAACTTTGGATTAGTACTTACTTGACGTAATAAAAGACAGTTAACAGTCAATAATATTGTAAAAACTATAAAAAATACAATATTGACTGTCGATTTGGAATGACAAACATTACAATAATCTCATGCATTGACTTTGGAATCGAAGGAATCGAACTGAAACATTACACTTATTTTAAGCAAAATGAAACAATTTGAGTCCTTTCAAAATCACGGATCAACATTGGAATGTATTTGAATTGCATTTATTCATCGACTGTACCATATTTTAGATGTTGAAACAATTATCAAACACTTGTGTTTAGACAAACGAGTTTATTTTCATCGAATTGTATAAATATTTATATAGAATATATAGATAAAATATACTTAGTTTAGTAAAACATAGTAGGTATAATATACAAATATAATTTATGAAGAAAAATAAAATATTATTTGTTATCATCATTATTGTTGTATCAAAGGTTTTTTGTCCTTAAGATTAATTATCATTCGATCAGTTTTTTATTTTTTTTATTGTATGGGTATAGCTTTTATAATATTAAAATATTTAACAAGATATTGTTTATAATTTCATAAAATCAATGTAATATGAATAACAAAGTTACATTTGTTGATACAGTTGTGTATGCCTTATTAAACCATATGTCACAATTAAGTACAATTTATTTTGAAAAATTGCTAAATAAAGTTAATTTAATTATCTCGAGTAACTTATTGAAATGATTTATTGGAATAAAATAAAACTAAATGGTTTTGAAATAAAGTGAATCTAAATATCTAAGGTAATATTCCATGTTTTTTTTGTATTTTAATACGGTATCACGTAAATTGTTAATCGAAAATAGTTTGTACGAGATTAGTTAGAGTACATTTGCTTACACGAAAATCGTTAGTATACAACAATACGGATCGCGAATTATTTAAATAAAATATGAATAAATAAGTAAAGGTAATAATATGATAATTATTTATCATTATCATATGATATATATGAAAAATCGATTCTTTTCAATAAATTACACAAGTGGACGTATTGACGTATAAATGTATAATAAAAATTGTTGTGTTTAAAAAATATGTTCTTATATCTTAACAACTTGTCATATATCCATAAAACTTCTTATAAATTGGTGCTGAGTATTATTGTAAATCTCAACTGACTCCGTTGCTCAGGGAATAAAAATCTACACTGATTAGTTTATTAAGTTTTGCCATTGAATGGCTGATACTTTTATAATAATATTAGGTATATCACATTAGATAACTGTAAAAAACTGGTGAAGTACATTAACCGTTCGAATATAATATTCAAATGATTTAGACAAAAATAGTTCATAAGAAATTGTTTAGTGGGCATATTTAAATATTTTAACTTAAACTTTATACTTTAATTTCATAAATTGACTAGCCTAGATTTTTGTTTCCCGAATGACGGGTTAGTTAAGGTTTAAATCACTACACCAGTTTCTAGTTTCTATTAAGTTTTCTGAGGAAGATGGTGTCACGAGTAATAGATATGGGGGTTTTGAACGGTATGATAGTTGGGATCAAAAACATATATACCTACAGGATTTTAGCCATTTCTTCTATATTGTTTATTTTTAAATCCAAGTTAAGCGTATTGTTTGGATTGTAAAATGGTGAATTTGTGGTAACAGGTGACGGAAAGTTATTGACTGGATTTGAATTTTATAAGTGCTTAATTTTTTCCCCTCACTCCATAATAAGGTATCTGCCATATGTCCGGATGTGTATTAGGGGTGTTATAAATTATATTTTTTGTCTTTTAAATTTAGTTAAAAAATGTATCAATTAAGTAATAATGATATTTCTTTTTTTTTCTAGAATTTAGTAAGAGTAGGTATTTTGTTTTATATAATATTATGAACCATCCAGATTAGAATATAATATAGTTTGTCTAGTATTGAACCTACATGATTAGCGCTCGAAGATTTTGAAATAATTTTGTTATTTAAACTTTAAAACTGTAGTAAGTGGCATTGAGCTTTATTACAATATTCGTTGTTAAATGAGATTATTTATTTATTGATATACTCATACATTGCTCATAACTACTACTACTACTGAGTATACTATATTGTAAACAATATATACTCAATGTTATTATGTACTAATGTTTGCGTTATATTGTTATCCTCAGCCAATGAGGTATAGGTACAGTTCTGCATAAATTATGAACATGTTTTCAAGTGAAATAATGTAAAGCGGATCAATGTTACATTATTATTATGATCAACTTTTTTATTAAAATGTCAAAATAATGGTTGATAATAATTAATACCTCTACAGTCTGCGTGGCCATTTTAATGACTTGTATTGTATATATTATACGCAAATAAATACCAACGTACTGTAGGTCATATCATATAGATGGTTAGGTGATGTTAGGTTTATATTGGATAACACAATATTATGTCTTGGTATTAATTATTTTACTAAACATTAATGAGGTATATATTTTTCTTGAATTTATATTTAGTATAATACTATAATGTATCCGTTACGTGAAATATAATTAAAAACAGGATTAATTTCGACTGCGTGTATCACTATGGTTCCAATTTCTGTAAGTAATTAAGTATATATTTGACGTATAAACTAGAATGGTCATATAGTTTTTGATTGTTGTATTGTGATGTTTAAAAATATGCTTAAAATAAATGATGTAAGTTCAAAGCAATTCAACTTACAACTGACATAAAATACTCGTGTATAAAATATCTACAAGCGCAGTCTTTTTAGGTACCTATTTTATTTCTTTTTTTTGTGAAAAAATTGGATACCATTAATATTAGTTTGTAGGGTAATATTTACAACCTTCAATATTACCAACATTTTTTTTTTTAATTTCATATTTCTACTTTAATATTAAATATAAAATAATTAAAGTATGATATATCATCCTGTCAACTTACAATTGTGTTATTATTATATTATTATTCTCCTATATAGTATTAATGTATGCAATAACTTATAATTAGGTACTTTATATTAATTTCTGGAGTAAGCAAAATTTGGTTATTGAGTTCAACTATGCATAATAATTTCTTTATAAAATGTATTTAACTAAAAAGTAATTGATTACCCATAATGTAACTTACCTTTATTTTTGGGAGCTTCTTATCATTTCTATACCACGTAATTGATGCTGGTGGTCTGGATCCAGCAGAATGGCACTGAACATCGTATCTTCGATCAGCTACCAAAACTTCGTCCATGACAGAAAATGTTACTGTTAGTGGTGGAACTAAAATACATAACAAACGGAAAATATGTTTAATTATCTTATATAATTAATAAATAATTCTGCATTGAACATATTTAGGGGAAATTGGTTTTCAATGGTGATAATGGATTAGAGTATGGGTTGTTCTACATTTTTTAAATTTATATATTTGTTCATAATAACTAACTATTCTATGTCTAGGTAGTATTATTAAAAATGAAAATATGTCTTTAAAATTATACTTATTAAATAATTTTTTTTTGTTCATAAAAGTAATTAGTAATAAGTAATTATTTAGTAATAATCATATTTTTTAATAAATTTTATAACTATACCGAAGTTAAATGGTTGTATGCAAAATTTTCTTCCGGAGATGTTATATAGTTCTATAAGTACAAATACAAATAAAATATCTATGGATTTTCTTAAAACAATTTTAGAGGGAGGAAATATTGAATCAACAATGAACTGTTTTATGTGAACAAATTTAAGTTTAATTAACTCTATACAATAATATAAAGTATTATTGATACTTGTTATTTTTACAAAATTTCATATTAGAATTACATACAATTTATACATTTAACATTCTATAATATGTTGCAAGTGTTAAATTAAAATACGTATACTATGTATAGCAGAATAGACTTATTACTTATTATTGCAAGTTATTTTATTTTCACTATGGTATGTATATGAATATCAATCAAATGATTATAAAGTAAAACCTATATTGTGTAATAATGAAAATGTATAATATTCAAAAAATAATTTAACTTTATTATATATATATATTAAGTAGTTATGTAATTAATAGGTATACTTATTTTCATATAAATTGTTATCAGGAACTAGGATAATATCTAACATGACTTACAGACAATTTATTTAAGAATTACATGGTCATCACAAAATACTTGTATACATACTTATTCAGTTTATTTTTAATCCACTTAGGTTTAAAAAAAAAAAGTTTTCATGGGTTGATTAAATTTTTTTTTATTAAATTTTTCTTATGTCTTTGGTTTTGTAAAATTTAATAATATAATATGTGTATTTATCAATCCCCATGCTACATTTTTAAAGGAGATAAAAAAAAAGTACATACCTACTTGGCTACTATTATATTATGTCATATTACATTATGTAATATATTATGTATATATTGTAGAAATAAAATCATACATTACATTATTTAAATTGATAATGAATCTGTCATTGCATGGTATACTGGAGGAATAAAATACTGATTGAGTAGGTGATTCAAAAGACATATTATAATGTACGGTAACATATTATATATTATATAAATATAGTGCTTCTGTGTCGGATAAAAAGAATAATTTCCCCCGTAGGATCCATCTGCACGAGACGTATATGTACGTAAGCTGCAGGTATATATAAATATATTATATATATGCACACTTGGGGTTTAGAATTTTTCCGTTATGAAAACTCCTGGAACCAAAGTGAAAAATATTACTTTGAACGCTTTCATGAAAAATCATTTTCCCCGCGAGATATCGAGTTTTTCAACTTTCCATAAATAATAAATGTGGTATACGAAAGCCGTGTTGGTACTTTAGTTAACACCAACTGACTGCCGAATTAAAAATTTCTAGCCGAACATTTCATCACCTTATGAATACGGATAATGGAATTTTCAATTACGCGTTTATATATATTATAATGCTTGATACAATATTTATGTGTGCAACGTACATGTGCGTATTGTTACCAAATACATTATGAACGTACTCGAAGTAAGTGTGAACTAAATTTCAAACTATAATCTAGATTATCTTAAATGTTAATTCCATTTAAGCGAGGAATAATTAAATTCGTCACGCTTGACTTCAGTTTTAAGTTTTAACCTTTTTCCCAACGAGATTACACAGTATTTTAGTAATCAATTTGTTATTAAAATTAATATTTTTTATATAGATGTACATTGTACATAGTTATATATGCAAAATTACTTAGGTACGTAGTATTGTGTACAAAACATTGATTCTTCATTCAAAGGTCTCCTTGTTTATTATTAATAAAAGTGTTAAAGGTTAACAAAAAAGTTAAAAAATAATAATAATAATAACGAATAATGAACAGCATAATATTTTAATTACACAATAATATCCTATATTTTTGTATACACTACAGCGCTTGTGAAATCTCAAGTACAGAAGAAAATATAACCTAATGAATGCAAAAATAGAAAGCGGTCTGGCGAGAGATAAACCTGTTTTTCAGTTTCATTGGCGCGAGTCACACTTATATTGTGACTTGGGATATAAGTATTGAATTCAAAAAGGATGATAACGAATAACATTCAGAAGGTTGAAAATAACACGATTCATACCGACATTTTGAAAATAACGCTTCAATCACACTCTCTTACATTTTCCGGCAGTTTTTGTAGTTTTCCATTTCTTAGGAAATTGAAATACTAGGTAAACCAAAAATTAAAACTAACAACAACAGATGCAATATTCAATCAGTAAATAAAAGTACCTACTTAAAACTTAATTGGATATATTTTATCAAGTAGGTACCTAGCTACGAGAACGATATTTCGTAAAGAAAAACAAAAAGATTATGGTATAATAGTTTTATACCCACTACTGCAATGTGTTATATTATAACTTATAACTGATAAACAATATCGACTGGCTTCCAAACAACTCGAGATGGGTTTTTTTTTGGTTTTGATTAAATCAATTTTAAAACATAAATGTACGCTCGCTGCACGTGTAGGTAACAAATTACACAATACTCTCGCAGGCGATGAACAGATAAATTGTATTCAAATTATTAATTGCACACGCATATACAGAGGGGCCCTTCAGTTTTATATTATGCGTGCTACACAAAAGCACGGTGTACGTTTTATGTTATTAATAATAAGTTTATGTCGTTAATAAATTATGTTTCTACGAGTGTCGGTTATATTTTATACTTAACTCAGTGACCGCTATTATTGAATTGTTTTGTACATAACACTATGCTGCACAAAGACTTTTGTTTTATTCACAATTATTGTAAAAGTTTTATTATTTCCTGCATAATATAGGACTTAGAAAATGTTAAAGACTGTCATCATTTTCAGATTATTTCAAAGAACTTAGTTGAACTATAACGTGTATCAATACATAATATACCAAGTATAGGTATTATGTGAATCATTAATGAATTAAGTGATTTTAAATGATAGATTCGGTTACAAAAACTGTGTAACACGCTCAAGGTGGACACATTTTTTATTTAGCCATGTATTAGGCCACTCGCCCTTAAAAATATATATTTTTATCTCTGCTGGCCCACAGGTTTATCCATCGTAACATTTTTGAAAAAAAACATAATAATATTTAACATTCAAACCATAAAACTAACAATAAAGTTGTAAAGTTACTAGTTTATTTTTATAAATGTCATAAAATAAAATATGTTAAACTCAAAAATTAATCAAACTATATTTATTCAATTAATTATTACACAATATTTGAGTTATTTAATTTTTAATATGTCCATAACTTCATTTTTTCCATTCAGTATTATAACTATTGTATTCCCAGTGTCTAATGGGTGGACGAGCATAAAAACATAAATTATTATTTAATATTATAATTCATCATAAAAATACATAATAAATAATAATCGATAATATTTCATTATCTCGAATAGTTAGAAGACGCAAATATTTGTGTTAATTTTTTCCTGCCTTATTTTTCCAGTCTTTATGTTGGTCACTTTATTTGACTGAGGTACAATATTCTGAGATCATGAATTAGTTATAATTATAATCGTACAACGATAATTTGTTAGAACGTAACATGTATGATATTCTATACGTAGGTACAATATAGGTACTCTAATTCATTGCTTTTCACGAAAATTGACTTGTTAATGTACATTTACATGAGTGTATATTAAGTATCAAAACCATTAACATGATCATACGTACATAATAATATTCATAAGCTAATCACCGAGGAAATACATACAACCTATTTTGATTAAAATACAACGTTCAAAATGTGTTTTATTTTGAAATTACAGATAATAGGTGATTTCAATATTGTGTTTTTATTATTAATTAGTTATTTGAGAAAATGATTGACCACACTGAACATGTTTGTGTGAGAAGCCCAGACATTATTTTAGATTAGATTTTGAATACTCAAATGGTACAGATATTTCCAGACTGATTACAACTAAAAAGTTACTATTTATTTATTAAATAAAATAACAAACTAACATTAAATAGGTACTACGTGTAGTACGTGTTATCCTTTAGTTGAATTACATTTAAGCAAGAAATGTTTAAATGTAGTTTAATAGAATACAGCTATTATTATTTAAAACGATAGCTATTATGCTTTTTTGCAATTTAAGAAAATACTTGTATATTGAATAATATTTAAGTTTAATACTGTGATATACAGTTAAGATAAATAAAAGAAAAATATCAAATGACTTACTATTTACTATAGAGTTTAACTATAAAAAAAGGATGGATTACATAATACACCATAAAGGTAAATTGAGTTAATATAGCACAATTAATAAAACAATCTTTAGTATAATACGATCGAAAATTCAAAATTCAAAATAGGACAGAGTTTTGTAGAATTTATTGTGATTTTCTAATCAATAATACTCGAACTATTTCTTTTTATATAAATAATATTTTGAAATATTTCATTAAAAATCATTGTTGTGTATATCCTTAAGAAATAAGCATTTTCTATAAGAAATAGCTGAAAATGTAATATTATATATGAACTTATAGTACTCAATAATATTTTTGGAATAAATATATACAATATGCACTTGTACCAAATGGATAGCTATAATAATAAATAATTATAATTATAATTTATTTTTATAAATGATTAATATATTACATGAACATAATTAAAGGGCAGAAACAATACTACTATTATTATTATTATTAAAACTAAAACATATTTGTTGAAATCGGTTTTAAATTCGGAGTGGAGCGATGAATGAATAGATTTTACAACGATGTGGGGTTTTTTTTTGTGTGTGTCTTGATACATTTTTTTATTACTTATTAAATTAAATCATATTTAAAAAAAAGAAAATACAAGTTAACAATTAAGTTACATTTTTGTTAGCGAAAAGCTCAATGAATAAAAATGAAAATAAAAGGGGCTATTGTCGGTAAACACGTTTACAGTTGTATTTATTATATTGATTAACCGTTAAGTAGTAGAACAATATACAATAATAATACTATTGTAATAGTTACATATGACATTTCGATTTACCGATATAACCGTGAAACCAAAATAGCTAAGGTCTGAACAGCAAAATAAATATAAAATTGTCAAACAAAACCTACCGAATCAATAGTGAATATTCAAAACAGCTAATCAAAATTAGTTTTAGAGTACCTAAACCTTATATTGTCAACATAAATAAGTATCTTATTTATTCCGTCTCGTTATTAAATTAGTGCTCTACGAATTTACATAAACCTAAAAAAGTAATTGAGTGTAAAATTAGCGGAATATTTTCCTAGGCGGCCAATATATTATACTATTATGTACATATTTCCATGTGTCCGAACAGCATACACGGGTACCTAATAATATAATCTTGGTAAGTTTCTCATTAATGTGTCAGGTAGTCCGATTACTCTTTATTAAAACAAAATACATTATTAAGCGTGCCATGTGCTGAGCGCAATTTTGGACGAGAGGGTACACGCGGTGACTGCCGTTTATCATATAGCTGGCGAGCACAGGATTAACACGAATACCATTATTACGATAGCAATATTGCACACATTTCATTAAAGTAATAACAAACCGTACTTAACAATATCATTATATCATAAGGAATCATGAGGTGAAAGAATGTCTTGCTCATTTTATATATTTTCTAGAGATGAGAAGGAATAATAATGTACGTCTTGATCACGGTTATCCAAAGACATTTTTGGTTTTGATCGATGCGAAACGAACAATACGGGAGACACAATATCATATAAACATAACATAGTGTGTATTTTTTTATTTTCACTTCGTGACTTTTCGCACGTTGCCCTTGTTGTTTATTGGGCCGTTGGCGGACAACAAATAATCAGACACGCTTCGGCCAGAGTGGGCGTCGAACAACAAACAAAAAAAATTCTTTTTACACCACCGCCACGAACCGATGTAATAGTAGTCGGATGAAAAAAAAAAGAAAAACGAAACACCAATGCCTTTTATTTCACATTATATTTTTCATCAAGGAACTTAATTTTTTTTCCTGTACACACGATTACGAATAGTAATTACGTGGTGGACGTAAAGTGCAGGTCGTGAGATAGAAAAAGATGAATAAAGAGAGAGCGAGACAGAGGAAAGTAAAAAGAAAAAAAGAGACAGAGATAATGGATTCACGAAAGGCTAATAAAGTTCATTAGTTTTTTTTTTACAGTTTCTTTTCTCTCCTGCTTAATTCTGACGTCCAATTAAGACTGTTAGATCGACGACCTTACCGACCCTTGCAGGACTGCCATCGTCTATAATACATATTATATACCTACCCGCATACATCACCGGTAGACACATCTGTATATAAATAATTATATCCGTTGGGTTTTAATTAACCACCCGTCCTTTCTAGTACCCCGATCGACTCGATAACGGTAGAAAAAAAAACTTATCATATAGTTGGTTTTTGTATTTTATTGTTGCAACAGTGTATTCTATTTTTCAAAAAAAAAAAGCACAAAATACTTAGGTCCCCTTTATAATAAAACCAGGCCCGATTAAAACGCCGGGGCACAGTTAATATTGGTCGTATGAAATTGATCGTTGTAAAATTGATCGCCTGAAATTGGTTGTTTAGTAAATTGGTCGTTTGGGAAATTGGCAGTCTTCAAATTTTTTTTTTTTTTGTTGTGTTATACGATATTTGCAAATGAATATAAAAACCTCCTCCGCAGCTTAAGGTAAATTAAAGAAAAAAGTAAAACCAAATATGTATGTACTCACGTCGAAGGTCCAACACGACGGATGCTTGTCGGGGATCCATTAGCCTCGTGTTTGACGCCTGACACGTGAACACCGAACCGAAGTCTTGGCGACTGACAGACGGCCAGTGCAGCCTGTTTTCGATGGCATTCATCGAGTTGTGTTCGCACTCATCGTCCACAATTTGATCATTTTTCAACCACACGACTACCGGCGGAGGATTTCCTAAAAAAAAATAATAACAAACCCATGATTCAAACTGCTTGTTTCTTAGATAGATAATATTATCATTGTTAAGATGCCTATCATATGTAGCAATATTATAGAGGGTAAAACCATATTTCCAGATTATGTGATATGCTAATTGTCTACATCATCACTTATTATATTAGGTGCAGTATTGTGTTAATATTATGTTTATGCACAGAAGAAATTGACATTTTTTATTTGGAAATTTAGGTGCACGCTCTGAGCAAGTGTATCCATGGCGAAACGTGTGTACTTTTATTATTATTGGAGCGCAAGAGGAAAGCCAATGATACCTTTGAAGGTTGACATAAATACCTGTTTGGAAACGTTATATTTCTCTACCATTCAGGTATATTCGAGAAATGTTTGATAATAATAATAAATGTTTGGTATTTTAATGAATTAAGTTTTACTATTAAATAGTACATAAACAAAATGACAATAGGTTTTAAAAAAAAAAATTAATTTTAGAAACAAATTCAATACAAAGTAATTTATTTTCAATGCTTGAAGTTTCATCAACATGTTTATTAAAAAATAACAGCATTTTTATGCGATTCAAATTGATTATAATATAATATGAACTTAAATTAACACAATACTCCAACGTCCCTGTTATTAAGTAATAATGTTCAATTAATTGAATATTAAATTTTTTATTTCACTATCATACCTATGAAACATAAATAATTTTTAAGTTCTATGACGAAAAATTCTATTTTATTTACATAAGTATTAAGTAATAAATAATATAAGTATATTTATATTTCGTATAAATAGTATTATTACATTCAGAAACTAAACTACCCAGGTCTACATTTTAAAGTTGATACTCGATTCTCAAAATAAACTTCCAAACAGCCCAAAGCCTTTGATTTTTTTCTATCTTAACGTACTACTTTTATACACATGGAATAAAACAACAGTTCCCATATTTTAGGAACTTGCTAGGGAATACTTCTTAGTTCTTACCAAACTGTACTTGAGTATATTATTTATCTTTGTCTTCATAAGTTTTTTGTAAATGTTTAACTATTTTATTCAACAATTTTTTCTGCGATTGATTTTTTTAAACGTAATACAAAATATAATTTTATTATTATAACTCTCAATATTACTTAAACAACAAATTGTTTGTAATAGTTTAAACTTTAAAGCAGTTATGGAGAAGAATAAACGGGAAAATGCACTAGTACATTTTAATCACGCTTTATAAAACAATATTGGCTTTATAAATAAGTAATTCTCATTATTATTATTATTATTATTATACTTACAACTAACAAGTAGAATTAGTATTTTAAAATATAAAATAATACTGAATTAAAAATATGCATAATACCTGTTTTTATAATAATATGGTATTAATAATAATAGTACCTACGGCGTTTCATATATTCATTATACAATATCAGTACACCAATATCGACAAAATTACATAAATAATCACTGACTTTATTTTTATTTAGTATTATTTTTATTTATTATGCATCTAAGCTTATTGACATAATATATTATTTATGAATATAGAATTTTAATAATTTTTTTCATTAGCTATCACACAACTATTCACTTACGTATTTTTAACTACAATCATAAATATTTTTAATGTTTTGAACATTTTCTTTGTTATAATTAGTATATAACAATTATAAGATGCAAGTATTAGTGTCAGTTAATATACACTCATTATTTATTATTTTTTTTTTTATACATCTTATAATAGTATTTCGTATAAACAAAATAAGTAAAATATTATATGTTCTGGACTCCATAAACCAAATGGATTGTTGATAGAATCGATGACTGATCAATATATATATATATATATATTTATGTATTCGGGTTACGGTAGAGTATTGGAAAAGTAAAATAAAATAAAAATAAAACCTTTTCCTCTTCTAAAAGGAGAAGATTATGGTACCACGTGTCTCAGCTGTTGCCACCGACTTCATTTCGATTGGGCAAATAAATCGTTGAATTAATATCGGCGATGAAATGGTATATATAGTGCAGAGAAATAGAAGTAAGGGGTGACAGAATTGAAGAGGAACCAATGAAGTTCAATCCTAAATAGACCCTAGAAATTGGATATTTAGCTTGGACCTTCTGCGCTTTATAAATTAAGCGCAATTTATTCGGACAGGTGATATAAACATTTTTTTTTAGCAATCTACCATCAGCACGAACTTATAAATTATTTTTTATCTCCCCTTTTTATCGACGCCTTTCTCCCGAAAATGTCTCTGTGAACAGGGAATACATATAGTTCAGAGCATATCACGTGATGCTTCAAAATAAAAATGTATAATTTCCTAGGTGGTGTTATTTTGATCAAATCTTTCGAGTAGAACAATATAACTGCATTGAAACACAACTCGCTCTCAAATAACCCAATACTAAACTGCAACTTTAATTTCACCAAACACTCACTTGCAAGTATTTATCTAATAATGATTTAACCATTTCAACAAAAATGGAACGTCATCATTAAATACTCGTACGTATTATTTTTATAATTAATGTGTATTTTCCGTACAATACCCCCCCCCCTCCCAGGATCCAAGACGATAACTGATAAACCAGTGGTGAGATATATAGTAAGTACATATATAGTACGCATGTCCTATTATAAAAGGTAATGTACACACCCAGACAAATAATTCAATTTTATTCCATCAAGGAAAAATTACTACCCAAAACTTTGCCAGTTTAATCCAACAAGCGTGTCTAAGACACAATTAATAGTACAGAAAGCAATAAACATAAATACTGCATAGGTGGCCGGGATAGTCCGTTGTCGAGATAACTGCGCTTATAATTAACTGACCTCACACCGGCATAACAGTACAGTGGGTGTGGTAATGGTCTGTAGTTTAGGGCAGCTGCAGGGCAGAAACACGAATCCGAAAAAAATTGTGAGATCATGTGGATTTTAATAGGTATCACCATTTATTTACTATTCCGAAAATTAAATTTGTACATTATAAACGATACCTAACGGTACATTATTATTATTTATAACGTGTACATCAAGAGAAGACTCTGGAGTTCACTGGAGAAATGATTTTATCTTACTTTTTACTCATTGTTGGATTTATGTCGTATTTGATATTATGGCCTAGATTTATTTTCTTGTGATAAGAGATATATTTTGATATTAAGTATTACAGATTTTTTAGGGAATTGTATAAGCTTTAGTTTGATACTAAAACGTTTTCTCATAGGACGGCAGTTCTGTAAAAATGTCGTACCTTTAATTTTAAATTGTGTATAGGTGCGTGACACTGGCACCCGGACGTATGAAATTCAACTCAAAACAGAATTAGTAATTGTTATATAATCTATAAAAATTGTAACGACAAATCCAAAATGTAAACACCTCCCATCGTACGTTAAATCTAAAATCAATTTAGAATATTAGACATTAGAAGTATAGAAAGCCACTGTAATTGATGTGTCTTTGAGATCTGACTTTAACAAATTGCCGTGTAATTTTGAAATATAAACAAAAATTCTGCGTTTTGAAAACTTCAATCATTTAGTAGGTATCAGTAGTAGATCAGTAGTATTAGTAGCAGTAGTATTAGTAGCAGTGGTACTAGCTGTCCCGTCTGACGTCGACCTGCCCAAAGATTTTTTTTCTTTTAATAAATATATTTGCCATATTTGTCTAACTATAATAGTTATAAAATATATGTAACCAAAGGTGGTTTAGATACACAAAAAAAATTCATTTTTCGTAAGCTGGAAAAAAAATCATGTTTGAGCTACCCTTTAGCTACTCACGGGAGTTGAAAAAATAAGCTTTAAACACCATCCAAGTCTCAAGGAATCTATCGATATAACTTTTATTGAAAACGGTCCAGTAGTTTTTGAGTCTATTAACTTCGGATGAACCAACATCCATTTTTAGCTGTATAACCCGACTTTGTTAGTGAAAAAGTGAAAATATAAAATATAGCACTATAGAGGTATGTCTTGGTTTTGGTGTACCTTAGTTGACGGACAACACTGGGTCGGTGCACCTGGCTTTATGAACTAATTTGACCAAGATTTTTTCACAAAATCATATATTTCGTGATTATCTATTATACAACTATATAACTATATTCAACTCTCAGGTTTGTTTTATGATACAATTTCTTTATTCAAAACCATAAATGTGACGATTTGACTCATGCTTTTACCCCATCTGTCCGATTAACCAATGCGAACCAATATAAACAAAAAAAGTACAATGTAAATCTCAAAACCGCTGTTTAAACTTCTCTCCGGGTTGAGTCCAATAGTGAATCTAAACTATCCAGAGACAAAAATGTATCAATTTTTTTTAATTTTATGAAATTCGTCTAACTGAGTTCAAATAAGTACACATGTACACAAGAATTATATATATGGAAATATTATTATTTCTTATACACGAATAAGATTCTCATATATTATGAGGATGTCCTTGGATCCCGTTGGACGAATTGAACCTGTTAGGTGAGGTTTTAGTAGGTAATCACAATAATCTGTACGGAAGACTGAAATATATCATTGAAACCGGTGAATAATAAAATATAATCACGTCAATGATAAAAACTTTATGTGCTTTGTTTGTAATTTTAAATAATGGATGAACGTTTCAAGTTTATAGGTAAGATTAATATATTTTCGAATTATAACAAAATAACAAAAACTGTTTGAGAAGAAATAGTTGTCTTAAAAGTCGAATCATGATAAAACGTAAGCTTTAAAGCAGAAGATGTTTAATTTTTTCCTGCTCCAATAGGTGATGGGACACAATAAAATAATGAAAAAACTAAAAAGATATACGATTGTACAACTAATACATTATTCATCTTTCCACTCAAAATCTAATATCAATACTCTCTTAATATATACCGACATTTTAAACATAAATTAAATTCATACTAATTTATTTCGCAAGCATAAATGTTTTAGTTTTAATGAACAATTTTCAAACTAGG